AAGGATTTCCCTACGTTTTCAAAACGATTTATACCCATACCGGAATTCGTAAATGAGTTAAAAGTAATACATGATAAATTTTTTTTGATGGTATAAAAGATGAATTGCAATATTCAATTTACTTTTAAGTAAAATATTTATGTTGATATTATTTTCTTTAAATCCTATTTGAAAGAGTGGGAAATTTTTTAAACCGTAAGCAAAAAAACCGGTATAACAGAAAACCGGTGTTTTGTCAAAAACAGCCATCCCTAGCTTAATGCATTTATATATGTTAAATAACCTTCTCAGGAACTTGACTCTGTTTACTATCAATTAATTTACAAAATAAAATGTAACGAGTATACATTTTACTCTATAAATTTATTGATTTCACGAGGAATTAATACAAAGTATAAACAAGTTTTATTTTACTTCCATCAAACCAATTAGCCCAAAGATCACAGAGACAACTTGTCCACCATAATTAATTTGATCCAAACTCCGAACATACTGCACATAGGTAGTTCGCTTTCTCGTATTTGGTATGCTTTTACACCACAAGTCTTATCTTAGTAGCTCCAATTGTTCGAATAACTTCTCCAACCTCATTACTCTTTTGCTTTTTTATTCCTTATTTTTAATTGTTTTAATGGTGCTGAAGTGAAAGTGGTCGAGTTTTGAGTTCGTCTGCTTTTAGTTTTTGTATAACTACTGACTAGTAGTACCAGTAAAGGTAATAGTTCACTAAAAGTTAAACGAGATAAGCTTTTCCTTTTAAGCTGCACACTGCACAGGTTTATCCTTATCGCCGTTCAGATCAGTGTCTAAAATTTCCTCTAATTCTGATTCAGATAAAGAATCTTCTGATGAAGGTGCTTTTTTTCTCAGATTTTTAATTTGGACTCCACTGGGCCCTGGTAGTTCATCTAGGAAAACTGGTGTTGACGATGGTGTTCTTCTTTACAAAAAACAACGGGATTAAAGGAAAGGATACCTGTGGTTCAAAAACCATTACTGTCTTCTCAACAGACGCCGCCCCATAAAAGATATTTTTAGCAAGTTCCGCAACGTCTGTTGTATTGATTTTCTCATATTTTTTTTATTTTCTATACTTCTCACAATCTTGGTAGTAAGCTGTCTTTAATGGAGAAACAAACTTTATATCTATAGGCTAGAGATAGTGGGAGGTGTGCGTTGGCAGTGAAAGGAGATTTATTCCGGTGTCGCAACAAAAATTGTAGGAAGTCAGACTTGAATGCGTTGTGCGGTTATCTGGTACTAAAAGAACTGGATGGTCTTTAGAAGCATTAACATGCCGCTGAAGATGTTTCACCAAATCCAAGAAAAGTTGTTCTGGTATTCACCCTGATTTAGAACATCTGTATATTGCCCCAATAGGACCGTTTTTGTCCAAACCTTCTTACATTCGATTTCTTCTATAAATAAACATATGTGGAATATATTGACCTGAGGTACTGAAAGCCATACTAGCGTCGTGGTTTATTCTCGTACACCACTGGTAACTGCACCATCTTGTATCTGGTCTTTGACAGCAACAATTTTACAGAGAATATGAACATTAATGATACCCATCTTATACAACAACAACAACGTACAATAAAAATTTGATGACATGCAAATTTGTAACAATGACATATAGTAAAGACAGCTTTTCGTCCTAGTGTAATTTTGGCCTCGCAACGACTTCGTAATCGGTCTTGCAATGCTCCATAAGGGATGTTGTATAACTTCGATGCTTCTCTTATTGAAAGTATTTTGTCAGCTATATCACTGAGGGCTCTTTCCATCGCCTCTTTGGCCCATGAGGACCGTGTTGTTTTTCTGTGATATGTTCGTGTAATCAGAAATAAAAACATCAACTGAGACCTATCACAATTATTGTAATATCGATCACGTTGTGATAAAATTGACCACTATGGTCGATTGTATCCGAAAGTGTGCTCATTGTTGACATGAACTTTTTAGAAAATACTTTTATTGTGATATCTGTATTGTAGAAATATGTTTTTATGCATTGTGAATACTAAAATGCTGATCAGCTAATAAAGGAGCCCTTACTTTAAAATACGATTGTAGAATGTTTTAAAAATCTCCACAAAACACAAATTTACTAGACATTAAGTGTCTATGGCGTATGAAAAACGACTAAGTTGCCAGTGCACCACCTGTTGTTGATGAGTTTAACATAGTGATCTGAATAAGATAACTTGAGTTTAAGTTGGGTTTAAGGTGACTCTCCGTCTGTTACACCAGTTTACTATCTTGTTTAGTAGCATTCGTGCTCTGTCAAACACAGAGGTGAGCTTTTGCGTTCCTCTGAGGGTACCAGCGGAAAGTAACGCCGTATCATCGACATATAACAAGACATATATTATAACAAGAGTTTTTGACCTGTTCGGGGGAGTGGGGAATATCACTATTATTTATTGTGTACAATAAAGGAGCTTAAATTGATCTTGTGGGAATCAGCTAGTGGAGCAAATGAATTGGATAGTTTATTGGCTGTTTACCCGGATTGTCTGATTAAAGAGGTAGAAATCGACGTTGCCAAAACATTAGAATAGTTAGTAGGTGAGGAATTTTTAAAATGTCAACTATTTACTAAACTATTAAATTAACAGTAAATACACTTGGTTTTAAGACTACTGCAAGACATTAAAATACATAAGAAACCAATTTAATACAAAATTATATCAGACTATTTATTTGTTTTGGCATATCACAATCACAATACACAACAATAATTAGTTCTTAAAGCTATTAATCTAAATTTAATCAGCCAATCGCGTCTACTGCTGGACATAGGCCTCCCCCAGTTCTTTGCAGTATTCTTTAGACTGGGCCGCTTGTAGCCAGTTTCCCGCTACACGTTTTATATCATCGGTCCATCTAGTCGGTGGTCGTCCTCAGCTTCTTTTATAGTTTCTGGGCCTCCATTCCATAATACGTCTTGTCCACCGTCCATCTTGTGTTCTGGCTAAGTGTCCTCCCAGTTCCACTTAAGCGTCGTGGTTCTTTCGATGACGTCTTGAACTCCTGATCTTTGCCTGATTTGTTGGTTTGTTATGTGGTCTCGAAGGCTCACGTTCAGCATTGCACGTTCCATGGCTCGTTATGTAACTCTGAGTTTATTCGCAGATTTTTGCGTGAGTGTTAAAGTCTCTGCTCCATAAGTTTGTACAGGCAAAACACATTGGTTATAAACATTTCGCTTGAGACACATGGGAATTGAACTTTTTAGAATATGGCTTAATTTGCCAAATACTGCCCATGTTAGGCCTATTCGCCTCTGTATTTCATGTGTTTGATTGTCTTTGCTTAGTTTGATTTTGTGTCCCAGATATTTGTAAGTGTCTGTTTGTTGTATGGTATTATTGTCAATAGTTATATTTTCACTCATTACGAGATTTGTTATAAGTTTAGTTTTCTCAAAGTTTATCTTTAATCCTGCTCTTTCAGACAGATTTTTAAGCGAATGCATCATAGAAACTGTGTCATCTAAGTTATCTCCGACATAATCTGCAAACCATAGGTGATTTAATCTTTCTCCATCTATATTGATGCCCATATTTTGCCACTGAGTGCTTTTAAATATTGACTCTAGAGCTGCCATGAACAATTTTGGTGAAATATTGTCTCCTTGTCTAACTCCTGAGCTGAATTTTTCTGCGTCTTCGTGTAGTCGTATACTTGATGTAGCGTTCTCGTAGATGTTTTTGATTAGTGTCGTGTACCAGTAATCTATTCGGCTTTGATTTAGGGCTTCCAGTATTGTTTCAAACTCTACAGAATCAAAAGCCTTCTCGTAATCGAGAAATGCAAGAACCAGTGGTATGTTGTTCTCGATGCACTTTTCTATTAAGATCTTTATGGTATTCAAATGGTCATTTGTGCCATATCCATATTATTATATTATCCATATATCGTCGGCTGGCAAGTAAAACTTACTAAGTGCAATTTTGAAATAACAGAGATATTCAAGTTTTAAAGGATAGTTTATTCTAAAAAAGCCATTTTTGAGCCAATTTTATAACAGAAGTTAAAAACAGTAGGTATTTTCTGTTATAATCTGTTATAAAATTGGCTCAAAAATGGATTTTTTACAATAAAATATGCTTTAAAACTTGAATATCTCGGTTCTTTCAAAATTGCACTTAGTGCAATTTAGTAATAAATATTATATTATGATCAATATGTGTAAGAAATCAAAACATAAATAAAATTCATACTCTAAACTCTAAAGAAGTGGCAACACTTTATACACTTTTGTAACACGCTTAACTGTCAATAGAATTTGAAGTATTTCCGCATCAGTTGCGTACAATTGTCTAATATATTTAATTAAAATTATTATTTTGTGGAATATTAGACTTAAAAAGTTATTTCATAAAATTTATATTAATAATATTAACAAATGTTTTTGGTTATTTCATCAATATAATTCTAAAATTTCCAATATAATGATGATTACATTTTTCTGATTATTAAACTTTGTTGACACCTGTGAAAGATCGAGCAGTTTCGTATTATTAGCTGTGTTAGGAAAATTTGAACTCTAAGGTTGATGTTCTGGAAACTTTAAATACAAGTGACGTCACTTTGTTGACATCGTGACGTTCAAGTGTTTTACTTTGAAAAATGGTATATGTACAGATGCGCTTGAGTACATAGCTATTAAATTTTTTACCGGTCATAGGCGACGCCACGTTGTTCATCTAGGGTTAAAAATTATCTTAATAGATTAAATGTATAGGTTTGTATAGTAAAATTTAACGAATTGTTTGAATTCTGTACCTAGACTATATTCCCGCTAATCATCTTATGGTGGATGCGGTAAATGTTTCAATAAAAAAATGTTTTCATATTTTTCGCTTTAAAACAGACCAATGTTTATTACATTTATAGTTTATATACGTAAACATATTTAAGATTTTTAACGATAAAAGAATAACAGGAATACACTTATTATTCTTATTTATTTTTGTTGAATATATATCCATAACTTGACGATAAAGTGCGCACTGGCCTTAAGGTGATTGTACAAACAAGTTAGGCATAAAATTTTCGTTACTTAGAACTGAACATTTTGCAAAAGAATGAAGCTTATTTTAATATTTGCATTTTTAATGTTTTCTATCGCGAAAATACAATCTATAAGTGGTAAGTTGTTGTTAATATTTTTTATACACTTTTGTTAAATTTGGCAATCCGTCAATTTTAAATTTTGAATTTGTAAATGTATTATATTATATATATATATATATATATATATATATATATATATATATATATATATATAAAACCTAGAGCTAAGATTAATATTATTACTAAAATTAATATCAAACCACCAGTCTTCCGGGTTGAACCGCGTCGTAATCGATTTTGCCGAGAGTTCGGCATCCTCTCTGATGCCTTCCTCAGGGCTTCCGAGGTCTCAGTCTCCCGAGCCCCCAGACACTACTACACTGTTCACTGTTCACTACGCTATCACTACTACTTAGTAGTACTAACTGATAGCGTAGTGAACAGTGAACAGTGTAGTAATGTCTGGGGGCTCGGGAGACTGAGACCTCGGAAGCCCTGAGGAAGGCATCAGAGAGGATGCCGAAAGCTCGGCAAAATGGATTACGACGCGGTTGAACCCGGAAGACTGGTGAGCTTGATCTAGGTTTTTTTTTGTACTAACCGCGGAAATCTTTCCGAACATATATATATATATATATATATATATATATATATATATATATATATATATATATATATATATATATATTATGTGTATATACATATATTATATATATATATATATATATATATATATATATATATATATATCTATAACAGCTGGGAGTTCTTAGCTGTTCTCCGCGTGTAGAGGTTCTCTCTCACCGGCTCTGGAACTCGCTTCAGCCATGTGTTACCTCTAGCCAAATTTAATTTAATACTGAACATCACAGTTATTTTACAACACAATGTATAATCTTTTATAACTAAATGTAATTTAAAGGGTTTTTACCCTAGTATTTTGGTGGCTCAGGCATTGTGACCTAGCATTTTTCGATTTTAAAACCTGATGATGGACTGTGTGGTCCGAAAACGTTTGTTTTATTAATGTAGCCCTTTTAAGGGTTTTTAAATAAGTATACCCATTTACGAAGACTAACCTTTTTTTTTTAGAACTAATAATGGTTTTGAAATTCTAATCTATATATTAAGTGAGACTAGACCAAATACCTTCTGAAATTATTTATTTTTAACTGAATTTTATTTTTTAGAGTCGTGCGGTCCAAATGAAATATGGGGGGGATGCTACGATGCATGTTGCAATCCTGAACCATCTTGCGAAATAAGAATCCCAATCGCATGTGGAATTGTATGCCCTGTCCCATGCCGTCCGCATTGTGTTTGCGAACCAGGATACATAAGAAAGAGATTTAATGGACCATGTGTAATAAGATGTTAAATAATAATTACAAACAATTATACATATTGCTTAAAGAAATTGTTTTTTTTTTGTTTACAGATACTAAAATATTAAATATAATGAATTTCTTACATATTATTTTAATTCAATTTTTTTGTCGAATTTTTGGACATTTGCCGTCATTTTTAGAAGTTTTTATTATTAAAGTTCTTCTGACAATCAAAAATCAAAAGCTTTTATTTTCTACACTTAATTATACAATTTACTTTGTTATATGTCAGTATTGAAAACAACAATGTTTAGTGTTTTGTTAGATAAAATGAAGTTTATAACAGCCACCTGTATATTAACCTGTAATCCCTCGTACTATGTACCCACTAATCTCCCTTACTATAATCTCCGTGGCTGTGCCGACTGCTCGAGCCGACACGAAGCCCCCGAGAGATGCAGTTGAAAGAGCAAGCCAACGAAGAAACATCCCCGCGCTATGACTTTTATTTTTTGTCAACTTTAATGTTTTAATCTCAATATAATTTACAGTAACAAGTGTTTAACGTGTATTTCGTGTACCTACACCAAAAATTCCCCTTATAAGTTCCACAAATTAAGGATAGAATTCATCACTTATGAATGACGTAGGTATTACGTATTTTCTATCCTGGAAAAATTTTTTAGTTTTTTTTTCGTTGCCTTTCATTATCGTTGATTTTTTACTTCGTGTTTTTTAATTTTTGCCTTGGTTTAAAACCTTTAGTTAGGTAATTACACACAAATATTAGTATCCATTCATTTTGGATTTTACAGGGAGGACACTTTTCACGCTTAGGTTTTTATCAGAGTGACTTAATTATTAACACACAAAGCATAAACCACGGTTAGATAGGTGGGCAATAAATAGTTACACATTCAAAGAATTATTTCATGTTACTGCAGTAACCAATATGATTATTAGAAGTGTATACAAAAATAATTTTTGTATAAAATATTTTAAAGAACATGCGGGTTTTAGAAAAGGCTATGGAACAAACGATCACCTACTGGTGATAAAAAATTTTTATAGTAAAATGCACTGAATATAATAAACCACTAGCTTTAATATTTGTCGACTATGAAAAGGCATTCGACACCGTAAATGAACAAAAAATGTTGGAAGCCTTGACCAATTGACTATGGGTATATAAATATAATTATACCAAAACGCAACAGCCAGTGTTAGAGTGAGTGACCGTCAAACCCAGCAACTCCCGATACAACGTGGAATACGCCAGGGGGACACCATATCGCCGAAACTGTTCACTATGCTTTTGGAATATATATATGTAAAAGGGTAAAACTGACCGACAAGGGCATAAACATAAACGGGGATGATATTGGACGAATAGCTGATAGGCTAGATGAGGCCAAAGAACTTTTAAATCAGCTCTACCTTTCCTCGCTAGAAGGGGGATTGAAAATAAATATATCTAAAACCCAGATGATGACAAATCTTGTAGTCCGCGAAGATATATGCGTAGGAACAAGATCCATAGACCAGGTAATGGCCTATAAATACATAGGTCATGAGATCCGCATAGGAAAAGATAACCAAACCGTTGAGCTTCTCCATCGTATAAGACTGACTTGGGCAGCCTTCGGCAAGCTGAAACATGTTTTGAAATCGTCTGATGTACCAATATGCCTTAAAAGAAAAACCTTCAATCAGTGTGTTTTGCCAGTGTTGACTTACGGTGCGGAAACGTTGACCATGACAAGGAGAACAGTTCAAAAGATCCGTGTGTGTCAAAGGGCGATGGAGCGTGCTATGTTGGGCGTTTCACTACGAGACAAGATCCCAAATCGCCAGCTACGACAAAGAACAGAAGTGGCTGATGCAGTAGAGAGAGTAGCAACACTGAAATGGAACTGGGCAGGTCACGTGGCTCGAATGACAGATAATAGATGGACAAAGCGGATACTGGAATGAAGACCAAGAGATGATGCCTACCGAAGCAAAGGTCGTCCACCAACACGTTGGACTGACGATCTAAAACGATGTCATAGGAATTGGATGCAAGAGGCACAAGATCGAAATAGATGGAAAATTATAAGGAAGATCTATGTCCAGCAGTGGATAAGCGAAGATTGAATGATGATGATGATACAAAAATAATATGTGTTAAGCTCATTCTCTCGCCTATGCCGCCACAGCTTAAGTTGGGCCGTAGCTTTCCCAACATCCACCTAAAAGTCTCCATTTCCTTTGCTGATCTCCTCCAGATACATGCCCTCAATATCTGTGTAGCATCGTCTCTTACTTGTATCCTATCTATTCAATTCTTCCTTTTTCTTTTCTTCTGGAAGTCGTCTGTTGTAAATAGGTCTTATTGCAGCCAATTGCTTATTGTACCATTTCCATTCCTTTATGATACTCATTCAAGAATCATGCGACTGGGCGTAAAGATTAATATAGACAAGACGAAGGTAATGGTGGTTAGTAAAACACGAAATATGCAATTAAATATCAGAGTAAACAATAAGAACATCCAAAAGGTCCCCAAGTTCAGATATTTCGGTATTTGGATAACTGAAGCTCTAGATCCAGACATAAAGATACGTAGCAGGATTGAGCAAGCCAGAACAGCATTTAGTAATACGATAACCTTGCTAAGCAACAGCAACCTTAAATTAACGCTTCGATAGCGCTTTGTAAAATGTTACATTTACTCTATACTCCTATATGGTGTATATATACACCACAAAAACTGTCGAATTATTAAACCGAATGGGCAGAGAACGAGAATTACTACCAACAATAAAAGCAAAAACTGCTTATCTGGGTCATTCCGAAATTCCAAGTACCAGTTCTTAAAGCTTATTATGGAAGGGAAGATAAAAGAAAAACGGGGTAACGAAAGAAAGAAATACTCATGGCTTAAAACATAAGGGATTGGACAAACCTCGATGCCCATGCACTCTTAAGAGCCAAGTAAGATTCAGAGAAGTACGCCAGAATTGTCGCCAACATCCACTATTTGGATAGGGCACCATAAGAAAAAAAAATTTATCTACTGATTTCAAGTAAGCCTTGGGTCTAATATTGCTCTAAAACAGTGTTTCCCAAATAGTGGTCCGCGGACCCCCGGGGGTCCGCGACATATTTTTCGAGGGTCCGCGAGCCCACGGCATAAAAAAAGAATAGGCAAAAATACGTTCACAATTTTTTGAAGTTTTAAGAATTAATGTTTGATCTGGCAACGGTGCTTGCTAACACATAAACACGTCATGGCTTCGGGCGTGGCCTTGCTTCGGGCGTGGCCTTGCGCCTACGCATTTTTTTTGTCTGAGCTTAGTTTCTCCTGTAACGTGTAAAGTAATGGTAACGTGACAACTTTAGAATCGATTTGGAAGCAGATACACACAATTTTTATTACAATTGTTCGGTTGATTAGTGACTAATAGTGACTAGTGTTTTTACTATGGATCGTTGGTTGAAAAGCGGCTCTTTGAAAAGACCACACTGTGATGATGAGACGGAACAACAACCAAGTATTTCTCAGGAGTCAGAAACTCAACCTAAGGCAGCGAATTCGACGCCAAAAAGTATTGGTAAGTTTCGTGGGAAGCAACGAAAATATAATGAAGAATATTTACAATTTGGATTTATTGAAAATACCGTCAACGACGAGTTAAGACCACAATGTGTTTTATGTTTTGATGTGCTTTCAAATGAATGTATGAAACCGGCAAAACTTCGACGTCATTTACAGCGAAAGCACCCTGAATCAGAGAATAAATCTATTGATTTCTTTCGATTGAAAATGAAAGAACTTAAACAGAGTCAAAACGTAATAAAAACAGTTGCTTCTGGAAATGAAAAGGCCACACTTGTTTCTTTTCAAATAGCGGAATTAATCGCTAAATCTGGAAAGTCCCACACTATAGCAGAGGAGTTACTGCTTCCAGCTGCGCAGATTATGTGTAAGACCATGATTAGTGATTCTGCTGCAAACCAGTTGCAAGTAATACCTCTCTCCAACAACACTATAAAAAGAAGAATAACCGATTTATCCCTGAATGTTGAACAGATTTTAATTGCAAGACTCCAGATTTGTAAAATGTTCGCCATACAACTTGATGAAAGTACAGATATTTCAAATAAAGCAATTTTGTTGGTATTTGTTCGTTACGACTATGATGGTGAAATTCATGAAGACTTTTTGTGTTTACGGGAACTAATGCGTACTACAGCTGACTGTGTGTTTAACGCTCTCAATGATTTTTTTACTGAATCTAATATATTGTGGAACAAATGCGTTGGATTAAGTACAGACGGAGCCCGTGCTATGTCTGGAAAATTAACGGGTCTTGTGGCACTCGTGAAAAATGTAGCACCCAATATAATATGGACTCATTGCTGTATCCATAGGGAAGCTCTAGCTTGCAAAAAAATGCCGCCATCGTTAAAATTGGTCTTGGACGAAGTTGTTAAAATTATTAATTTTATTAAGGCCAGGCCGTTAAACTCCCGTGTTTTTCAAGCAATTTGTGAAGAAGCAGGCAGTGAACACATTCAACTCCTTTTACATACAGAAGTACGATGGTTATCCCGGGGAAAGATTTTGGCTCGATTTTTTGAATTGCGCAACGAAGTGCGACTTTTTCTAAGTGAGAATAAATTTGAATTAGCTGAACGACTTAACAATTTTTCTTGGATGTGCATGACAGCATACTTATCCGATATTTTTGTTTTTTTAAATGGACTGAATCTACAATTACAGGGCAAAAATGTAAATATTTTTAAAACTGACGAAAAAATAGAAGCCACCATACAAAAATTACAAATTTGGGCTAACCGTGTGGAACAATCATCTTTAAGTTCATTTCCGACTTTAGATTCGTTTCTGAAATCCGAGGAAGAAACTTTGCCACAAGAGATTCAACTTATAATTTGCGAGCATTTGCGGAATGTAGTTATAAGTTTTCGTGAATATTTTCCTGCACCAAATGATGAAAACAGCTGGATTAGAAATCCGTTTGTTACATCAAGAATTGAAGAAAATGCTAGTCTTACAGAAAAACAACAAGATCAGCTCGTGGACTTGTCTTGTAGCAGTTCTAAAAAAGATATTTTTAACGACAACGATTTAATTCAGTTTTGGATTAAAATTAATTCTGATTACAACGATCTCTCCGAAAAGGCTATGAAACATTTGATTCCATTTTGTACGACGTATTTATGTGAACAGGCTTTCTCTGTATACGTTATTTTAAAATCAAAACAAAGAAATCGACTGGATGTTGTTTCAGATCTAAGGTTAAAAATTTCAAATATTAGACCTGATTTACAAAAAATTATGAAGGAAAAATCAGTGTTCCATTCTTTTCATTAAAATTTAAAACTGCTGAAAATTTATAAGTTTTATAATGTAATCATTGTATTTTATTTCTATTTTCTTTTATTAATTATTAATTAAATAACATATTTAAAAAACGCAATAGTTGTTTTTTTATTTTTCTAACGAAACTGTTTCTGGGGGTCCCCATGATCCTATTGTCTAATTTTGGGGGTCCGCAATTTTGAGACATTTGGGAAACACTGCTCTAAAATACTCCATCCATATATGTACCATGACGGAATAAGTCCTTCTTTGCATAAATTTTATGATTTTGGATGTTGTTTGTTGCATTATGTCTTCGACTGTGCCATTAAATTTGCCGTGGGCTAAGATGGCTAGGTCATCCCCATAACCCAGGACATTGGTTAAAGATAAAGACTGTTTTCTGTAGTCCTTATACGTGGATTTTTTCTTTTCTCTTGCTTTATAGCTCCTTTCTTTAAAAATAGTGTTTTCGGTTATTTAGTCTTGTTTCCTTAATAATACAACAGGATAGGAAATATATCTCGAGAAAAAATCAAATTTTCGAATCTCAAGAAAAATCGAATCGAGAAGATTAACAAATTTTAAGATCGGTGTCTACTTAAACAGTTGATAGAGTTTATGGTTGTACCTGAATTTCCATACTCCGTTTTGGTTAACAGGTTCAAATATCTTCCTTTGGACTTCGTTTAAATAATTTTAGCTTTATTTTTGTGTTTTTTGTGTCATCATTCATGTCTCGCATCCATAATGTACTATTGCTCTAATAATAGTTTTGTAGACCCTATGTGTTTTGGGAGCAAAAAACATGGGCGAGCGATGGATAAGCGTTGTTTTCCTTTACTATTCTTCTTTAAATTTCTGGTTCTTCTGTTTCATCCGTGCCTAATGCAACTCCCAAATATGTGAAACTGTCTACAGTTTCAACATCGTCCTATAATTCAACTGTGCATCTGTCCCCTAACTCTTGCGTGTGTCAGCTTTTTTGTGTTTTGAATTTTTATTGCTACTCCGGTCTATTTTGCCTGTTTTTAGTTGTAAATACATTTCTGTCGCCTCTTCTATTGTGCAATAACTGTAGATATTTAAAGCCAAATCAATTGACCGCCTTGAGGCATTTGAGATGTGGTTACATAGAAGAATGTTTCGAATTGCATTAATAGAATAAGTATATGGTAGAGCTAATTTACAAACGATTTCAAAATAGACAAACACAAAAATGCTAAACAGCTTTTCCACATAGCACAAAATACTTAAGCAAGTCTTGTTATAGTGACCGTCAACGTCGCGGAGACCGAACAAGTCACTTAAAAGAAGAAGAGTTAGCTTTTTCATTTTAAATACAAATGATACAAAGAAAGTGAATGAAACTGATCATTAAATTTGATCATTAAATTTATTAAATAATCTTTTAAGAATCTACAATTTGCATTTAATAATACCCAAACATAACGAAAGAAAACAAAAGTTCCAATATCCCAGTTATATTCTTCAGCAATCTACTGTAGGTTTATACTAATTTTGAGATTTGGGACATTGCTCTGGTCGTACACAGTTGCCGCTAATATTATCCTTTAAATATCCTATATTACATCTACAAATCGGTCTGCACTCCAGGTCACAATATTTAAGAAGAGGACAAGGTACAGGTCCTATTTGGCAGCTTGGGTCTGGACAGCACGGTGCACATGCTGGGTATGAATTTGGAGGGCAAATAAGTAAATCTAAAAAATTTTGAGCTAACATTTGTAATTAACTATTAAGTAAATGTCTAGATACTGAAACTGCAAAATTTGATCTAATTCTTCGTTTATAATTTGCAAATTAGCAACTTAGCAACCAATGTTTTTCACTGACTATTGTTCTTTTAGTTTCCTTTGTATTTACGTTAATGTGTAATCCAGACAAATGTTTAAGGTCATATATATATATATATATATATATATATATATATATATATATATATACATTATATATATACATTAATATTCTTTTCGATTATACAATACTTACCAATTGGATTGCTACCAGGAACATAAGCTGCAAAAAAATAAATTAATAGATAAAGATTTTCCTATTTTTAATTACAATAAAGTCAGTCGTCAAATTCTTAAACTATAGATGGCTACAGTATATATCAGAAACTTTTTTACTGACAGGAACTCGTTGGTATGAGTTAAAATACGTATATGTATAATAAGAAATATAAATAGGAAAGATATACAGATAAAGTCAAAGATACCTACGATGTCAACGAACTAAAAATATAAAAACGTGTTTGCATAATAAATTATTTAAATAATAATAAACTAAGTAACAATACTGATTCCATATTAAAAAAAAACAAAAATAGAAAATAATCCTTACGTGCTTGACATGTAACGAATGTTAAAAAACTGCCTACTATAAAAAATAATAATAAATACTTCATGTTGAAAATCACTAGAATATACTGTACATTTTCATAAGTTCTTGCTGAACTTTTATAATAAGGCATATCAAAAACTTAATTTATAAATGTTACTCACCCCAAAAATTTATCTACTTTAAGTATTTATTATCCAGATGTCACAGTTTTTGTTTAATTTTATTACTTTCAGGAAACTATTATGCACTAATTGTAAAATTATGTATTTAAATAAAAAACCGACACACATACAATGCAAAAATTAAGTAAATTTGAATTGCACTATATCTTTGATGGCTTGTTAATATTTAATTTGTTTATTAACTAATCATTATTGATGGAATTTATAAAATGTATTATAGAATCAGTTGTTAGAAAAATAATAAAGAATCCTTTTTTTTTTTGGAAAACTGCTGAGAGAATATAAACTATGTATACTCGTTATCCTTTCCAATATTCCAACATTTCGTTTATGTCACCAACATCATCAGGGAATGCTACAATTTAGTTACATGAGAAATTACAGTCTTTTAATATGATCATACTTACAATGCGAGGATAATGCCATATCGAGAGCAAGTCATCATTTTAAAAAATATAAATATATAAAACATTGATAAATGGCACAAAAACAAACATAAATAATTGTTATTGCAAAAGCATAGGCTGTTTTCCTTTGTGTTGAATTAACATTTTATTTGATGCTTAGTTTTGACCGCATGTTCAATTTATTGGCGTTTGAAGGGTTAACCTTTAAAAATCAAAAATCTTCTTTTCTTTGCATCGACCACGAAGAAGGTTTTTTGATTGACGTTTCAGTTCACATAATGTCTGAGTCCGTTCTGGTCTCAGATGGCGTAAAGAAGGGAATCTGAATTCAGTAGGTGTCCTTCAGTACTCTGCGCAAGAGAGATGAGTCCTCAACCCCAACACTGCGCATCCCAATAGCTGATAGGGAAGTTTCTGTAGATATGCAGAATAGGTACGAATAAGGCTTAGCCAAGTACCCTTCGATCAACTAAGGACATAAGACAGGTCAGCAGCTGTATTATTTGTGGCCTGTGGCTGAGGAATACAATTCCTGACAGGTGCTGTACCACAAAGTCACAGGCGGTAATCAAGAAATCAAGAAATTGAAACATTTTATGACTATATATTTACTCATGGTATCTACACCTCCATTAGATATAAACTAATATCAGGCACATATCAATTATAAGCTACTACTGCATGAAACCTCCAAGAACGATCTTAACGACTTGAATAATTACATTATAAACGCCTTACATACAAGAAAGTCACCGAGTGCACTGTCCTAAAAGAAAATCAGATAGTAAAATAAGTCCTATACTGAAACGCTGCTAGATCAAAGAAGATAAATGAGAAGCGATAAGAATGCAGACAGCCACACTCAGAAGGTAATCAGAAGAGATTTAAGGAAATTTAAAACCAATAATATTTAACGTACTACTTAAAAATCTAAAAGTTCTACTTAGAAAGCTAACGAATGGGAAATGCGAAATTCATAAATTAAAAAACAAAAATAAGCAAAATGAAATAATATCACTTAGAGACGAGTTAATACAGATTATCGAAGAGTTTAACTAGGAATTATATTATGGAAGTAGACGAGAAAATTAAACAGCAATACAAACAGCCATTTCAAAGAAACTCATGAATCAAGGTTCCGAACTAATGCCAGAAATAAAGGTAGATGAGATTCGACAAGCGTTAAGAAAAATGAAAAATAACAAAGCCTTAGGAGAGGATGAAATTGTAATAGAAGCCATCGTAAATGTATAAGCTATTAAATCGATTAAAGAAACTGTTTAATCTATATTTGCAGCAAAGAGAGGTTCCCAAAGAATGGAACAATGCTATAACCATCCTTTTGCTTAAAAAAGGAGATAGAACGGACTTATAGACCTATTACCTGTTAAACCAGATATACAAGCTCTTCACTAGGTTTGTTAAGTAAAGTTTAAAGAGACGTACAATGAGGATAATGATGTAGCTGCTAACCTAGGTATGCATTCAATAAAGGGAAAATCCAAAGGTGAGTTTACGAAAACGAGTAGCTAAAACTGGTAGTTGAATACGAAACCCTAAGAAGAAGAAAAAAAATTATATAGAAAGAAAAAGACATAAATTTAATGAAAAGAAGTAAGAAATTATAAAAGTGCTAAAAAATCAAAACAAAACTCAAAAAGTCTACAAAAATCTAAACAAAATAAGAAAAAAGTTTAAGCCAAGAATAGAAAGCTGTAAGTACGGAGGGGATACTCTGGGCTCTTAAAACATTTCCACTCAAGAAACATCCAAAGAAGATCCTTCTTCTTCTTAATGCGCCGCCTCCTCTCGAAAGTTGGCGATCCAAATGACAATTTGTAGCTTTGGAAACTGCTGCAGGAAAAATTTTTGTGGATAAGTGGCTAAATGATCTTCTTAGGTCGTTTAGTCACAAGTTCTGGCATCTTCCAACTGATATTTTAGCCCGCACTTTACCTTTCAATATAATTTGAATTAATTCATATGTTTCACCTCTCAACACATAACCAAATTATTGTATTTTTTCATTATGTTGAGTTATTATTTTTATTTACTCATGCGCCGAAGTACCTCTCCATTGGTAACTTTGTGTTCTTCTTCTTAACGTGCCCCATATCTAAGGACATTGGCGATCATCATGGCCCATTTGACTCTATCTGCAGCCGTTCTGAAAAGTTCTATTAACGTTTTCCCATCCCATTGTCTCAGATTCTTCAACCAGGACATGCGTCTTCTCCCCAGTCCTCTTTTGCCTTCCACCTTCCTTGTATGACCAGCCGCATCAATTTGTATTTCTCGTTTCTTAGTACGTGACCAAAGTAGCTCATTTTTCTTTTCTTATAGTATTGAGTATTTCTTTATCTTTTTTCATTACTCGTAGCATTTCCGCATTTGTTATGTGTTAAAATCGGGATATTTTCCACCTGTGGATAACACCACATTTCAAAGTTATTGAGTCTTTTCTCTGTCGCCTCTGTATTTGTCCAGGCCTCAACTCCATACAACAGGACAGAAAATACGTAGCATCTCAATACTTTAGTTCTAATTTCAATGTTGAGTTTTACATTGCATAATATTGCTTTCATCTTATTAAAAGCTCTTCTAGCTATCTCAATACGCCGCTTTCTTTTCGTTCTTCTATCCCATGCTTCATTTAGTTCGCAACCTAAGTACTGATATCTGTGCACCCTGCCTAAAAGTTCTCCTTTAGCATAAACACTGTCTTTCTCAATCATGTTTTTGCTTACCACCAGGATTTTTGTATTATTTGTAATCAGTGCCATTCCATACCTTTCGCAGTATTGGGTAATGCGATCAACCAAGATGTGTAGTCCTTCTCTGCTCTCCGCAAGGAGTATTGTGTCATCTGCGTATCTAAGATTATTCAGAATTGCTCCGTTAATAAATATGCCTTTATTTACGTCTTCTAATGCCTATTAAGACAATTCATTTGAATACATATTAAAAAGTAAAGCGGAAAGCACACATCCTTGTTTTACTCGACGATTTATAGATATTTCATTTAATTCTATATTCTGCAGTATCTTTGCCATTCTTCGGTGTTGTACTTTGTCGAAAGTTTTTTCGAAGTCCACTAGACATATGAATACGTCGCAATTGACATCTCGACATCGTTCGATTAGTGTTTGTACAGTAAGTAATGCTTCCCTGTTGCCAAAGCCTTTTTATAGTCCCAATTGGTTTTCAGCTGTTTTATCATCTAGAGTTTTATAGATACGTTAGTGTATCACTCGTAAGAACACTTTTAGAATATGGTTCATCAAGTTAATTGTCCTGTGCTCTTCACACTTTATTGCGTTTGGTAGGTAGGTATTTCATCTGGTCCCTGGTCTGATCTTCTCATTCTCTTTACGTTTAAGCGCTTTCTCAATTTCATCTTTGGTGATTGGTGGCCCATTTCTTCCTGTTGTTTCAATAAACTCAATTTTCTCGTCGTCTTCGAATAGTTTTTTTTTATGTATTCTGCCCATCTGTTTATTTTATCTGTACATTTCGTTATTATCTTGTAAATTCTATCCATGATATTACCGATACACTTCTATTTGTATATGCCAGCTGTCTCTTTGATTTTCCGGTGTATGTCAAAACTGTCATTTTGTTTATCTAATCTTTCTATTTCTTAGCACTTTTCTGATAGCCATAGTTTCACAGCTTCTTTTATTTTCTGTTTGAATATTTTGTTAATTGTTTTGTACTGTTGTTCGTTTTTATTCTTGTGTGCCCTTCTATCCGTCATCAGTTCTTTCATCTCTTGTGTGATCCATTGTTT